CAGTTTAACAATTTGTCGCTTATCTTAATGCTGTCAAATCGCGAACGCCATGTTGTTTTCATAGCCGTCTTAATATTATAATACTGCAAATAATTAAAAATATTTATCGTTATTTTGACTTTATTTTTGACTTTAGCGGAAACGTCATTATGAACTTTTTTGTTTAAAATTTGATGCTTTAACAGAAAAAAATATAATATACAGGGGTTTCCATTTAAAAAAATGTTATTTTACTGAAAAAAATCAAAATAACGACTCTCAATTGTTTTTTTTTTATTTCTCATTTTTACCAGCGTTAAAAATGCTACTAGTTTGCTAATTTAAACAACTTTGTATTTTTACTAATAACAAAGTTACCAATGGTGGACACTTAATTTGGATAACCCTGTATATCTTAAAGCACCTCAAATACAAGGACCATTGTAGGTACAGCATATCCGCTTCACACGTTCACACAGACAGGAGCATCAATCTAAAAGCTGAAACAAAAGAAATTTCCGCTATGTCTCTCTCAAAATGAAAGTAGTAGCTTTATCAACAAGAAACGTCATACCAGCTCACTCCATATGATATATTTATTCCTGCCCCTTATCGATCCATCCCACTTGTACCGTATCATCAATTATTTGGCCTCTTTCTGTCACTCAGTTGAGTATGGGTCACCTATTCGGCAATCTCGATGAGAGCCGTACTTATGAAGCGGAGGAGTCATTTGTCAATATCCTGTATGTGAAGCTAGTATGCCACGATAGAATTGTTCATCATATTATTTAAATTATTCATTTCTATTTCTGTCAGCACTTAGGACGTGTTCTAAATTTTGCAAGAAAGGATAACTGCACATCCGAGTTCGTTCTTTCGAGGATATTTTCCTTGCAATGTGTTGAGCTGAAAAAGTTACAAAAGATAAAAAAATAGGTAACAGTTAAACGTCAAGGAGTAAGGTTGAATAACAAAGTGATTCATAAATCAACCTTAACCCTTTCCCCGCTCACCGCCACCCCATTCCAATTTCCATTGTCAATAGAGTCAGCCACATAATGCTGTTTATCCACTGAACGATAAAGCACGGCCGAGAACAATGATTTCCTGACATAGCATGCAAGACGTGTGCAATACTCTTTGTTTTGTGATTGGTGGAAGTGCGCATGTTCCTATCCAAGATTTGCTGCAAAATATTTTATCGTTACAAATAAAGAGAACAGCGAAGCCCGTCAAATATTTTCTTGTCCAATTTCTTGTCAAGAAATTCGAATAGGTTGACTCTGCGCTTCCCACCAACGCCATCATAAAGGATAAATTTCAACACAAGTTGGACCTTATCGAAATAAGACAGCATTGGCTTCACTTCCTGGATAGAAGACAGATGCTATGCTTTTTTGCGCTGTTCCAGAGTCCAAGCCTAGACCGTGCTGATGACCTATCAAAAAAGCACGAAACAGTTGTCTACGGCTTTCTGTTTTTTTTTCCACTGGACTCTTTGGTCTATTGTTGCAGCCAAACAAACCCATATAATTAGCTCATCGACTTTCTTTCTCTGCCCTACCGGTAGTACCATCCATTTGGCTACATCATTTCTCCTCGATACCTGATCGCGCGACGCGTCATACGCGGCAGCGCTTCACAGCCCCAAACGTTTATCTGTCGTTCTAGGTTTGAAAAGCAAATGTACGGTGAAATCTATGATGTGTGAAATATGTCTTACAGTTGTCTAGAATCACCGAGCTTGCGAGCATTCAAATATACTTAAAAAAATACTACTTGTCTTGTATAAAAATTGCTGCAAAAAAGGTGGTTGCTACTTGAGTTTACCTCTGAGGTCATTACCTATGCTTTATTGGAAATCACCCAGAAATTCCATTTTCAATCAGGCGGACGCGCGTTGTGACTCTATGTTTCGTGACTTATTGGACTACACGGTCGAACAGATTTATAAATATACCAGGCTTCATTGCAAAGTATCCTTTAATTGTTTATTTTAAACATACATGTATATCTCACCATGATGAATATATGAACGCATATACGGTGAGGTTCAAATTTGGCTGACGTAATGTGTACAAGAGACAAGCCCGATGACCGAGCCATTGGCCCACTCTTTCTAACATACAGGGTGGCCCATAAGTCCTTTGAGCTGGAAAAAAAGGAATAAAACCAAACTAGTTACATTATGAAGAATTATTATATTTTGTTATCATCTTTATTGAATGGGAATTATGTTTTAAAAATCACATCGTCTAAATGCAATCCATTACGATCACGGCAATCATATAAACGACGTCTAAAATTGTCGATGACTGCGCGGCAAGTCAACACTGTAATGCTTGCCATTTCTCTTCGGATATTTTCTTTCAGGACATCAACTGATCGCGGAGTGGTGTCGTACACTTTACTCTTGAGGTAGCCCCATAAAAAGAAGTCCATTGGGGTCAAATCTGGACTATGTAGTGGCCAGGAAATGTCTCCTCTTCGAGAAATTACTTTGCTGGGAAAAATTTGACAGACGACGGGCATAGAAGTGTTGGAGGTGTGCAATTCTGCAACGCTGGTGTCAAAAACTCTTCTATCATTGCTACATACCGCTCCGAAGTAACAGTTAATGCGCGACCTCTGTCGTCCTCAAAAAAATAAGGGCCTACGATGCCATGCGCTGACATAGCAGCCCAAACTGTAACTTTAGGGCTGTGTAAGGGCTTCTGATGCTTACGCCTTGGATTTTCGGGGCTCCAATAACGGCAATTTTGTTTATTTACATGCCCGTTTAAATGGAAGTGAGCCTCGTCCGAGAACAACACATTATTGAGCGAAGAAAATTGATTCAACATTTCATTCGCAAAGTTTAGTCTCTGAATAGCGTCATTATCTTTTAATTCCTGCACTAACTGAATTTTGTAAGCGTGCAGACGTAAATCTTTCCTTAAACTCCACTGTAAAGATGTTCTGGGTACGTTTAGTGCACTGGAACGCTTACGAGTAGACTGGGTAGGATTTTGACGAACAGACTGTGCCACAATGTTGATGTTTTCTTCAATACGAGTTGTCCTTGGTCGACCCCACCGCTGTTTATCTAACGTCGAACCAGTCTCTTCGAACTTAGCAACCCAGTTCTTAATCGTTTGAGCTGTTGGACACTTTGTAAAATTGTGTAAATTGTGGTATTCTCGATATTTACGCCGCGCAATGGTTGCCGAATCATTATTTTGATAAAACGCGCGCACACAAAGAGCACGATCCGCTCCAGTGAAACACTCCATGGCGACTGAATTCCCAGACACTGAAGATACTGCCCCCACCTCGCCCGCGCCGCTCACGCTCACCCGTTAAATTTTATTCAAATTTGAAATTTCAAAGGACTTATGGACCACCCTGTATATATCGCACACGCCATCACGCTTCTCTTTCGTACACATTACGACTTCACTGATATTTGGTCCTCTTACTAACGTTTCCAATTCCTGCTGCTACTCCAGCTTGCTCATTCACCATAATTGCGAAAGATGCCATATTTCCTGCACTGAATATAACTTTGCAAGTTGCAATCTCCTTTATTAAGCTTTTACATTTTAAGGTAAGATTTATTAACTTCTAGAGACTCTTAAAAAAAATTCAGAAGTTGGAGATGCCCCATTATGGAAATTTATTGTTATAGCAAGTTGCAAAGGCGCGTCCAAAAGTTAAAATGTAAGGAAAACCACTGAATCATTTTGAAATTAGTGGTCAATAAAAGCTCTATTCGGTATTCGGCTTGCGACCCTATAGCGTGGATATCTGGAGGAACATCCTATGGCTACCTTCTCCTTCTTCTAAATTGATCAGAACCAAAGGTAACACCCAGAAACTTGTGTTCGACGCAGTTGCTGTAAACTTCCTGACGAAAGGCTAGTTTTTGTTGATTTAGGATGACAACGTCTTCAGCAATGTTGTATCTGATGTCCTCATCCGTAGTTATGCACCTTATAATAAAATATCATCATTTTTACATATCATGTTTCTCCTTTTTTTGGGTCCAACTGAATTTGATTAAAACTATTGAATTGCGCACTTCACAGTAATGGAATGTTGTGTGGGAGATAACAAAATAAAAGCCCACACTGCTAGCTAAATAATGGCTTATTATTTGTTACAGTAAAGTGTGATATTATTCATGACAGTAAGCTAGATGCGTAGTATTTTGACAAACAAAACCGTTTGCATAATTTATATACTTAATAAATCAACATTACTAATTTCATTTGCGTTTTACATCCCACGCCTGCTGGGGTGAAAAAATTTCGGAAGTAAAGTATTATGATTTTTGGGTGTAATATGTCATGTACATCACGAAAACTCGTTTATAACTCGGAAAGCACCGGTCGGATTTTCATAAAAATTCTCACACAAGGTTACTACTATGTCAAGGTCGGAAGAGCTTTGTAGCTATTCAAAATTGGTTTGGTGCCGGCGGATCTTCAGGCAAAAAAGTAAAAAATAAAAGGTGGTCAAACTTCGTCTTTTGACGTTTCAGAGGATCCAGGTTATTTTCAGGAACATTTTTAAGGAAAAAAAATTAGACATTGGGAGTTTTAAGCGGTAGATGAGGGTATATCTCAGTTCTTGATAATAGTATATTATATACGCTCCCAACTCTGATGATTCTACGCATCTATCAGCCATATTACTCACATCATAGGTTTCCCCTTAAATTTGCCTTGCAAGCAGAATGATAGAGAAATAAGTTTGGTACGCGTCTTCTGCTATTTAGGCTCTAGTTCGAGAATTATCAACTAGACAAATTTGTCAAATAACACTGGTCTGCAACAAAATCCTCCTCCAAATAACTATGTCATAAATATGAAGATTTTGATGCTCTGAATCTGTTTCCGGTTGCCGATTTTTACTATCTCGTCTAGAATTTTCAAAATGATTTTTTTTGAAAATATAAAGTCAGTTTTTTTTAATTCGTTTTATGCGTTAACATTATAAACAATGTATATATATATATACGAAATAAATTTTTCTAGTCGTAAGAAAAAGAAGGAAAGTTCCGAAAGTGATGTCTACGGTAGTACATGTGCGCCTGCGCAGTATTTAACAGTTAGTTGAAAAGTTGTCTTTGATTGTTTACGTTCTATATCAAATAATTTAGTAAGTTTTGCACAAGATTCAGTTCTTATGTATTTCTAAGTATTTTGTTTGTAGGTTATCCATTTTTTTATAAACAGAGGTAATAAATATAAAATAGAAATTTAAAAAAGAATTTTAAATGAATTCCATTCAATTTGTTGTTATAAAATGCCGCGCACTTGCAAGAATTCTACAGTTGTTGCTACATTTGTGCTGAGTTTAAGCTTAAATGCAGCGAGATGCGATAACTGATCGTGTCAACTTTATTTTGGATCTTCTATCGATGAAAGAGATAAAAATTTGCTATAACAGTTGTTCAAAAACGTTGAGAGGTTGGCTTGAAGAAAGTCGCAAATCTATGCCGTTTACAAAACCAATGCATTAGAGTGAACCTCAGAATAATGAAAATGACTGTTATTTCTGCATGACATCAACACGACGATTCTCAAAAAAAAATAAGGACAAGATTGTGTATCCGAACGTCGCATCTGCAAAGAGACCAATTCCTCATGGCAGTTTACCTCCAGTACCTCTAAAAAATAGCGACAAGATGGAAAATAAAAACACTACTGGTCTACAGCCTCAATCAAGTTTCATCTCTACCTGTACATCTTCATCAATATATATGTTACTTTATCTGGATCTTCAAGCCCATCAAAAGAACCTCATTTTTTTAGCAACCTCAGTTAAATGATCTCGTTAGAGACTTGGGGCTATCAAAATCTAAGGTTCAACTGAAACAGTGGAATTTATTGGATAAAAGTACGAGAGTCTCATAATTTTGCACGACAAGAATATTTTACGAGTTACTTCAGTTACTTCTCCAAAGAAAATGATTTAGTATTTTGTAATGATCCTGTAGGGCTTCTTGAAGAGTTTTTCAGAAATATCTGATGAGTGGAGACTTTTTATTGATGCATCGAAGATTAGCTTGAAAGCAGTTTTACTTCACAATGGAAATAAATACTCATGAGTGAAACAAATTATGCAAATCTACAGGTATTACTTGAAAAAAATCAAATATTCTCAATACCTATGAAATATTTGTGCTGACTTAACAGTTGTCGCTATACTTACTGGACTGCAAGGAGTATACACCAAGTTTTGCTGTTTTTATGTTAGTGGAACAGTCTCGCGAAAGATAAACATTATAAGGTGAAAACTTGGCCACAAAGAAAAAGCTTGAGACCTGGACTTACAAATATATCTCAAAAACCTCTAGTGTCAAGTGACAAAATTTTTCTGCCACCACTTCGTATAAAGCTGGGATTCATGAAAAACTTTGTGGAGGTTATGAACAAGGATGGCGCAGACTCTCAATATATCAAAACAAAATTTCCTCGAATCAGTGACGTGAAATTGAAAGAAGGGATTTTTGTAGGTCCTCAAATACGAAAACTTATGACGGATGAAATTTTCAGTTTGAAGTTAAACAAGGCTGAAGAAAAAGCTTGGGTGGCTGTCATAATTTTCTTGGTAATACAAAAGCTGACAACTACAGACAAATCATTCAATTGCTTCATTCTGCTTATAAAGCTTAAGGATGCAATATGTCACTCAAAATTCATTTCTTGGACTCGCATGTAGATTTCTTTCCGGAAAATCTCGGTGCCGTATCAGATGAGCATGGTGAAGGATTTCATCGGGATATTATGCATATTGAAAGATGCTACAATGGAAAACGGTCAACAGCAATGCTTGCTGATTTTTGTTGGTCAATTCGCCGAGAAACTTCGATGGAAACGATGAAAAGAAAAACTACAAAATGACTTGAATTGTATTATCATATTGAGATAAATAAACTGATATTTCTTTAACTTGTGATTGTAAAATTAGCATATTTCTGTCTATAACTTAGACCCTAGTCATTTTTCACTTTTTTGTAATTGTTGTTACTTTGATAATATCATTTTTTAATTAAATTGACATATTTAAAATCTATCTACGGTATTTATTTGCATGTTAAATTCACTATTTAGGGCACCGAATATGATGTGATTATGCATGAAAAAATTGATGAAAAAAAAAAATTATTTTGCAAGCCAGTGTAATAAAGCTCCATCAGAGGACTAAAAAAACAATTAAATCCACAGTTTCTGATAGAGGAATGCTCACTATACAAATACTGGAATATATTTGACTCCATACGTATCACAGTCTGAGAGTTGTACCATTTTTTTCCGATGGAAAAAACTAGAGCGATCTAAGAACACTTTACACCTTCCTTTCTGTGAGTTTCAATTAATCATCTTTTTGTTCGTGTTGGAGTCCCTTGATCATACCCACAAAGAAACCAGTGGCGTGTTTAGTTGAAATTCGAAATACCCCGTTGAAGTTTGACATCGACGCCCTAGGGTAATTCAATTTAATACAAGCAGTACAAACTATGTATCTGAATGCCTACCGTCTATTCAAAGAGGTTCGTCTAAGTCACTCAATTAGTACAGGATGAATTATCAGTGAGAGAACAAATGTACTTGAACTCCCTATATCTCAATAAGGAAGTCGTCAAATCATTTAGTTCAGTTTAATAATATAAATCTAAATAACCGCATACATAAATAGGTATAATTTAAAAAAACTTTAGAACGATTGAAAATCGCATGAAATTGATAGGAAGTAACTAGGTAAAAATAAAAAAAAGCAGTCATTTCAAACTAGGGTTGCCGCGGATAGTGAATTGGCCGGATAACCGGATATAGTTTATATATTTTGTGTTTCTTTTTTACTATCTAGCTCCCGCCAGATATTGAAGTTAGTATTCGGTTGTCTGGCCTGACAATAAATTCTAGCTGAATAGGCCGCTTACCGAATATCCCAGATATCCGTTGTAATCCTAGTTTGAGAATAGGTACACTCCACTAAGCTTAAAACAAGGTAAAAAAACTCGCCAAAAGATTCAGTGTGATGTTAACTATTGTGGGTTGCATATGCTGAAAATTGGTACATTGTAAACAGGGTTGTAAGCAATCCAACTCTAAGATTATTTTGTGTGCTTAGCTTTCGGGCGAAGTTCTTTCCTTACATTCACCTTCAAATACTTTTGAGGACAATTTGTCTGGTGAAACGATATATGCTGCTTAATGGCAAAACTCCTATCCAGAACATGTTCCATTAATCATCATATCTGCTTCCGCTACTTATATTCGCTACGTAACTTTTACTTAGTGTCAAAGGTTGATAGATTCCAAAACACGATTCATGTTGTCCACCTGAAAATGATTGAAGATACCGCATTAATCGACGCGTCGCGATCTCAAAAATTGTATAGATGATGGAAGTTCAAAAGAAAGCTCTTGAAATGTGCATGCTGTCTACAAATTTAAGATGTCGCAAAAATGTATGATCCAGGCATAGAGAGGTTGTGAAAAACGTAACATATCTCGTAACAGCACTGGTCAGATGTAAGGTATACATAACCTATACAGGGTGTTTCAGTTTATTGTTGCATAACTTTAAGATTCGATAGAACTTTTAAAATTAATGCATAAAGTCTATATAAACATGGGTCGAAAAATGCGTGGCTTCCGAAATACAGGGTCTTTAAATTTAGTTTCTAAAATAGTTTTTTTTTAATGTTTTGAACAATATTTGATGTATAACAGTGAAAATTGGTATACAAGGGTTTTTTGGTACGACAAAACGAACCATGGGCATAGTTTTACTGTAGCCGCTGGAGGGCGCTCTCTACTGTACCTGTAGTGTATTAAAATGACCGAAAAAAATTGTGAATGCACGAAATTTAGTTTCTTTTTCCTAAGTTTTATAAAAATGCCATTTTTATTCTCCAATTAAGAGTTAGCGGATATTCATTTTGTGTATGGCTTTGTAAATGGAAACGCAGCAGAAGCAGCCAGAGAATACGCACGAAGATTTCCAAACAGACGACATCCAACTCGCTCAGTATTTGTAAGAGTGCATTGCCAAATAATTGAAAATGGTTTTGGACATCTCCAAAGGGATCAAAACATAAATGTTCGTCAGCGCAGATTTACCCGTATGATTCTGCGTGAGTTTGATAGAGATCCGACCACAAGTGTTAGGAGGGTTTCTAGTGCCTTGGGAATTTCAGCAAGCCATGTTCACCGTGTTCTTAGAAATGACCATAGACGTCCTTACCATTTGCAACCTGTGCAAGGACTACAGCTAGAGGACGGAGAACGAAGAATCACATTTTGTCGGTGGATTCTTGATAGAACTGATAATAATAAGGAGTTTTTAAGTAACGTTTTATGGACCGATGAGTCATGCATCACTAGACGTGGAGTGGTAAATTTTCATAATCAACTTATTTGGTCGCATGAAAATCCGCATGCAGTTCGGGAAAGAAATTTTCAGCATGAATTTAGTGTGAACGTGTGGATTGGTATCTACCGTAATCGACTATTTGGACCCTACCTTTTGCCTGCAAGGTTAAATGCTGCGACTTTCTTGGAATTTTTAAAGGCTGAACATGCAAATATGTGGGATGGTGTTATGTTATATTTAAGATTTTGGTTAGCCTGGTTCTAGCTTGATGGTTGTCCAGCTCGTTATTCGAGAATAGTTAGAAACTGGCTGGACGAAAATTATCCAGAAGGATGGATCGGCCGTGGAGGACCAGTCGCCTGGCCTCCACGATCCCCTGACCTAAATCCATTAGATTTCTTTGTGTGGGGATTTCTAAAAGAAAAAGTGTACCAGACTCCCGTAACCACAAGAGATATGCTAATAGACAGAATCAAGAATGCATGTGATGAAATAAGGCCTTATTTGAATAATGCTATACCACGTTCGACCATTCGTAGATGTGAATTGTGTATTGAACAATTAGGTTTACATTTCGAGCAACTACTTTAGATTTTGTATGTTTGTCCTAACTATTCTATAGCATTTTAGTTGTAAATTAATATTGGAAAATTAAACAAATTAATATTGTTTTTTGTGTTTATTTGGAGTTATGGAATTATTGCTGTGTTTAAAAACATAATCTAAACGATCATCTTAATTACTTGTAATGCCCAAATCGAAAATGTAAAAAAAATATTATTTTCCCATAAATAATTAAAAATGCATCGAACCTTAAAAATCGAAATATCTCAAAAACAGCTAACTATAACGAAAACTCACAGGAGAGCTTTGTTATGCAAAAAAGTGCGAAGAATCGGCTTTTTTATTCAAAAAGCAAAAAATTGTACTAAGAAAAAATTTTCGGTCATTTTAATACACTACAGGTACAGTAGAGAGCGCCCTCTAGCGGCTACAGTAAAACTGCGCCCATGGTTCGTTTTGTCGTACCAAAAAACCCTTGTATACCAATTTTGACCATTATACATCAAGTATTGTTCGAAATATTTAAAAAAAAAACTATTTTAAAAAGTAAATTTGAACACCCTGTATTTCGGAAGCCACGCATTTTTCGACCCATGTTTATATAGACTTTATGCATTAATTTTGAAAGTTCTATCGAATCTTAAAGTTATGCAACAATAAACTGAAACACCCTATATTTGAGTTGGCTATAACTAATTTAGCGTTTTCAGATTTAAATTAGTAAGTCATGAAACGCCATCAAGACGTGCCGAAAACGTTGTTTCACCCACATCCGAGCTACGTCATGTCACGTGGACATGACCCTATATCTTGCCGGCCCGATATCAGAAATTCATAGTTATCTATGAATAGTAAATCTACAATCATAAAGGTCACATGTGACCTGTGGGAGTAACATATGATGTATAGTTTGATATCAGTTCGCTTAAAGCACTTGTAGCTTGTGGGGACTGCAGTGTATGATGTACTGTTGTTCGCCGAAGTTTACTTCCCAAATGGAGATTCTTGCGCTTAGCAAACTGTAAAGTTTAGCATGGAAATGGCGATTTTAAGCTGGTTTCATTGAACGTTGCGTTCAGCGAGTTGTTTTCCGCTTATGGTTCTCTTATCTAGCAGGCGAAGGAGCTACCTGGCACTTGTTACGCAGCACAGCGTGTGCTTACAGTTTGTTTAAATGGGTGTAAATATAGTTTTCTTTATTCCAGTCAACAGTGCATCGAATAGTTCCTTCGAAGTCCGCACCACCTCCCTACGCGCCTTCCGCGGCTGGTCGCGCGCGACAAACGCGACACGGTCGCCACGACTCCTACGCGACTGCGACAGCCCCAAGGGCAAAAATGGCTTGCTAGTGACGACCACCTGAGGGGCAAGAGGGGGCGTTACTGGAATACATCAGCAGTACCAAAGACGCCCCTCGGAACATAATGAGAAGAGCAGCCCTCCACAGGTATTCAGTTGTTAGCGAGTTAGTCAGTTGGCTAGTTAGTTAGTTCATTAGTTAGTAAGTTCGTTTTTTAGGCAGTCAGTTGGTTAGTTAGTAAGTTAGTTTTTAGTTAGATAGCTAGTTAGTTAGTTAGTTAGTTAGTTAGTTAGTTAGTTAGTTGGTTGGTTGGTTGGTTGGTTGATTGGTTGGTTGGTTGGTTGGTAGGCTAGTTAGTTAGTTAGTTAGCTAGTTAGCTAGTTAGTTAGTCAGTTAGTTAGTTAGTTAGTTAGTTAGTTAGTTGGTTATTTAGTTAGTCATTTAATTAGTTGATAAGTAAGTTAGTTCTCCACAAGGCCTGGAGGAAAAATAAATACGAATAAGTAGTGCTCAGAAGCCAGTGTTAGCTGGTATCCCGCCTACTGGAAGGGGTAAAAGCGGCGAAAGAGAGGTGCTTTTTTATCAGAGGGTAAGATAGATGGGATGCAACTGGTCATGTTGCATGAACTAGAATGCTGATCCCGAATATTAAAAAGTGGGATTGAGGAGGGTTAGATTACTATAGTGCGCAATTCGTTACAGAACATGGTTGTTTTGAGAGCTACCTGAAGATAGTAAAAAAGAGATAGTACGCAAACTGCAAACTGAGGATACTCTCAATCATATACTCCAGTGTGATATATGGATCGACTACCAGAGACAGCTGGAATTGACGCTTGGCGTAAGGCTCACTGCTAATAATTTTGCCAGACATGTAAGCGAAGGCAAATGGGTTGACATTGAACCAGCAGTGAAGCAAATGATGCTGAGCAAGGTTCATGATGATAAAGATAGACCAAGGAATCAATTTTACAGTGTTGTACATGATTATAGGTACGAATGTGTATGTACGATGGAGAATAGATGAGTAATCGTTCGAATAAAAACTTATAGCGATACGCTACCCACCAAGAAGGGACGCTACAAGCATTACCGTAGTGAGACGGTTTGCTAATGATGGTTTTAATTAGTGAATTATTAGTATGTTATTTAGCTTGTGTAATTTGTACTAGGTGTTTCGAGGGAGCTAGGTTGAAAATTGGGAGTTATAAACGTTGCATTTTTGGAATCAATGTTACAAAAGCGCATTCCTAAACCAAATTTAAGTAGAAAGGTTCATATAAACATGTTTCCAAGTTTCTTGGAGTGATTGACTGAAAAACACGTTTTTTGGCAGAGGAGAAATAATAACAAACTGTCTCGGCAAAAATATGTTCATAACAACAGAACAACATCCTCTAGATAAAGTTGGTATGATCTTATTTGAATAATTTTTTGACAGTTGTTTTTATATTTTTGCCCGAAAGCGCAAGTTACGAAGATATAGAGGCGGGCAAGAACTTTGAATCATCAGCTGTTTAATACGAAAAAATATAGATTTTTATAATAAAGTCGGAGGCGGAGGTAAATTTGTTTATCAATATCTCTTTTATTGCAATGAACAATACTGGAAAAATTCAACAAAATCAGCACAAGGATTTTTGAAATATTAAAATATATCTTGAAAAGTAGGCCTCTTATGATACATGCTTATATAAACTTTTCTGCTCAGTTCAGAAATACGCCCTTGTAATTGCGGCTCGTCAATAAGTAATATAATGTTTATCGTATAATTCATAAAATAATTTTCTGAGAAATGGTTTTGTCATTAGCCATCACCGAACATTAATTGATTCGATTAAAAGAATGGTGGACGCCAAACTTAAAATGTATCTTAATCCAAAATTACAGGATCTGTTTGGGTAGGGCATAATTAGAAAACACTGATGAGAAAAAGCAATCTGCCTTGCGACTCGTTGTCAGTCAAAATTGGAACCTCAGGTTCTTTTTCAGTACACGCCATTCATGATTCAGAAGTCCTATATAAGTAATTATATATCCATTCGTCTATAGCTTTTGAGAAAAGTTATGCAAACACTTGTACTTTCACGTTGATTAGTACTCGATTATGTCAAAAAAATCCCAGATTGCGAATCGCAAACTCCTTGTAGAAACCTCGTTTAAATTCTGTTAATGAGTTTTGAAGTTCCTAATTATCAGAATATTCCTCATTTTGTATATTTTGTTCCACTTCGGTGGCTTCCAACGCCTTACCATTTCGATTTTGTACTTAGCTACAACTCAGTCAGGCCCTTTGAGTGGAATATCATCCAAAAACACCCAAGAAAATGTAACATCATGTTACTACATTAAGGTTCTTAACACTTTTTACTTCATGCGCCACTATCGAGAAAATACTGTAATCTCAAACATGTTTGTAGTGACGTCATGTTTTTTGTATGTTATGTAACATGTACAGCACGAAAAACCAAGTCACTCATTTCCGTCAGTCTGTCTGTCTGTGTACCGGTCTGTCAGCTAATCTTTGGCCCGTATATAACTTGAAAAGTACCGCTCGGACTGTGATAAAACTTTGAGACAAGATCTCTACTATACCAAGGACAAGAAAACTTGATACTTTTTGAAAATTGGTTTACTGACCTAAGTGCAGAAAAAGAAAAAATGTAAAATCGTTCGAACATCGCTTCTTAACCTATCAGAGGCTCCCGATCATTTTCAGAGTAAAATGTTCTAGTGGTTGAAAATTGGTGGTGTAAGGGATAAAGTAAGGAATTTATCAATTATTTGACGTTGGTTTATCCATACGCTTTCAGTCCCGGTAATTCGACGGATCCTAGATTTCTCCGTATATTTACCCTTAAAACTTGGAATGATAAAGAAATATTTTCAATTGACAGTCGCAGACGGTGCTGGTGGTTGGCGTACTGTCATTGATCGTCATCCACGCGCGATTAACCAAAGTTAAGTTCATGTGGACTCGCAGGAATTTCATTAGTGGGAAGGGAGAGGATGATTTATGGGCTAAAGATAACTTTGTGTGAATGCGTTTTTGAAGAACGAGGGTAACAAATTTTCTCATGTCAGACTAAACCCTAAAACGCCCCAAAATTGTTCACAAAAGCATGCTAAATATTCAAATTTCAATTGTCTGGACCTGTTGTACCGACATGATCGAATTAGTCTTTTGTTATACATTGTAGCTGAACTTTTTTTCAGAGGGGCTAACTCATGCCGAACTCTTTATGAAGTGATGACATACTTGCGTGGGAGGTGCAGCAGAAGCAATCTACTTGACGCCGTTTTTCAAATAGCAGCAGCTTAGAAGCCTTATAAAATTTAGTCATTTTGTCATTTGTTTCAATAGTTGTACTGAAACAGAACGCTTACCAAACAATTTGTTCCCTGTCAAATCAAACACCAACGCACGACGTTCAAAGCGCGCCTTTATTGATCAGTGAGTCATAAATGCAGGGGCAGGCAGCGATAAGCGAGTAGATGCGACGATCAACTGTCGCTGAAAAACCAAAACCCCATAATTTTTTTTCGTATTTGGCTCCAGACTTTGTACAGAGTTACAGGATGCATAATTCAAGTTTTACTAACATTAGTGCTCTTTAGATGACTCTGCAAGCGGAATTATAGTGAAGTGAATATCTGCCGCATTACACGTTAAAATTACATAAAGCTCGTTGCAAAAAAGTGTGCTACGTTTCAAAATTACCAGCTTTGCCGAAAATGGATTGCGGAGTCGAAGGTACGCATAATTAAGGTATGTCATTACTAATCGACACATAACAGTATGTAACTGATAATTTCTCCGTGATTCATACTGGATTACTGAATTCAAATTAAGTTTAGAAAAAACGTCCATTGGATTCCGCTCTATTCGGAATAGTATAATATTTATCAGACACGCAGTTAAGAAATATGTGAATTTTGCCTACAAATGACTGCAACTTTAACAATTATGCGACATTATACAATAATTGGCAAAAATATAAGACTCAAAATTGAGCTTTTGAAATATTTTTTGCAATAATGGCCGCCATATTCGTTACGTCATTTTCGTTACAAAAGAATCGCTATCTAACCCGTTGTCAACGACTACCAGAACATTAAAAAACTTGATGACATGTACATCACGAAACGTCATGTCACTCTTTTGCGTCCGTCTGTCTGTCTGACTGTCGATCTGTCCGCTAACCTTATAACAGCCTAAAACTTGAGAAGTACCGCTCGTATTTCTTAAAAATTTCCCACAATGTTATTACTATGCCAAACACGAAAAACCGCTGTAGTTTTTGAAAATCGGTTCAACTGGAAAATGTTTTAAAGGGGCTACTTGTTGCAGAGGGGGGGAGGGTATATTCCAATTTCTGATATTGGTATATTTATACGCTTCCAACTCCAGTCATTCTTCGCACTTATTAGGGATACGCTTATCATAGATGTTCTCATACATTCACCGTTATTATATATTAATTATTACCTACAGTCGGGTGTCGATACTTATTTCGTGGTATCCCGATGGACAAGCGACGTCGTCGGTGTTCGTACGTCACAGTCGGCAATTGCTTCCGCACTGCTGTGGGCTGTCTGCACTGTGCATGGTGAAGGCTAATATCATTCACGCGGAATTCGTCATCGCAACGATGTGCGCCTGCAGCAATTCCTTTCGGTGGAAGGAGGAAGGTAAATTTAATTGTTTGTTATACATGTTCGTAGGTAATATAATGATAAAACATAATCCATTACGAAGTGATGACAGCGTACCGTGAGAAGTAAAGGGTCAACTTGCTTGACTCCATTTTTGAAGTTATAGCGTGATCATGATGAGGAGAAAGTGAGGTCTGAATAGGTTATAGTATAGAAGACGATTGTAGCACTGCTACATATTGTGATGGATATAGTCCTAGAATAAAATGATATTTGTGACAAAAAAATAAATATTCTAAGGCGTACCTCATAAGGTAAATCAAAGTGCGTATTAACTTTCAGAGAAAAACATCAAGATTTACGCTGTGCTTCAACCACTTTTCTTGACATGACTTAATGGGCAATTTGTTCCCCTTTATAACCGAGTATAAATAGCCCGATTTTTTCACGTCAGCTGTTAATACGTCGTTTATCTAGTATATGGGATTTATCTCGGGATTTATTTTGCCTGTGCGGACAACGGATAATCTGCTGCCTCCCCAAGATTGAAACAGGCGTGAAATTCTTCTGTGAGAGACAAATTATCCTTGCTGTGCTGTGACCTTGTTTCGTTGAGTAATTCTGCAGCAAATTTGCTGGGGAGAGATAAACGTTTTCTGTCAGTCAAAACTTATGTTTCCAGTGCATTGAACATACCATGTAAGCTACACCAGTGTATACGCGTATATAATTGCAATGGTATACGTTTTGATATTCATACGTACAATGTAAACAATATCAAATATTCGTTCAGAAGCGATTTCTAAATGATTAGAAAAGGTATAAATGTAACGACATAATATATGATGTATATATACAAAGCCATAGCTAGGAATAGATGAATTAAGAACATTACTAATTTAAAATTAAACACATTTTGGACAAAACATTTGATCGATTTCAATCAGCGTGTTAGCATCGTCATTATTTAGATTGAGAAATGACATAATGATAAAATTGATTTCATTAACATGTCCCTTGCGAACATTGTTAATTAAAAAACACAATGATTAAAAACGTCAAAAAATGTGATAAAACAGACATAAAAACGTAATATTAGCATATGTGTTTAAAATAGACAAAATTAATGATCTATCACTTCAAGACAATACCTACTAACAGAACAGAAATTAAAAAAGTAGTACTATACATACGTGCTTTCTGACTACTTCTTCTTACTTTATTTTCTGATTTGATGTGTGCTTCTGTTAGGTAAGAAAGTATTGGCGAAATAGCGCGCCAATAGCCGCATATTACGGTAGATACTACAAAAGTTAACTGACCTGTGCGATTTTCAGTGACATGTGAATTTCTTATTTTTTAGTGCGCCCAGTTGTTTGCGAGTAAACCTAACCTCACTTAATTTATTCTATACAATGTCTATACATTATTGTACAAATTGTATTTTTTTATATATACCGAAGCAGCCGCGCAGGCAGAAACCTAAATGCCGAGATGCTGTTATGATGATCCACAAGCAATTATGTTGTATACACATTTTATAGAAATTTGAGGCAGAAGGTAAAACAACTTTGGGTTATAGATCGGGACAAACAAGAAACGTGGTTCAATTTTCCGTTTCGGAACTAATATAGATTATGTATTAGTTATCAACACGGCTAATGAGTCTAAATAGTGATGCCTTTCAATAAATTTATCGATTTATCGGGACATTCATTGTCCTGATTAGGTGCAAATGGGAACGCGTCCCAGGTCCCTGAGAAAAAGTACGTCGCGCGCGTATCAGGACAACTGGCAACGCTGCTTAAAACGCATTTAGGTACGTTCTTGGTACCCAATGAACAAAGGAACCACCAGTTCTTGATAAACCAAGTCAGATTTCACAAAAATATCTGCCGAAGACATTATGTGTTCAACATCTTGAGGAGATTAAATTTATAGTTTTTTTCCGAACCCTCAAACGTTAGGCGCATTACTAAACAGGACCGGTGAAACTACGACCCCGCGATCTTACAAAGCATTATGTCTCGATATGTACTCTCAAAAAAAAGGAGCCCGATCTGAGATATGATCCGCCAAGCAAAGTAGCGGAATTTTAGGTTAACCCACTTGTCCTCTCATGTGTTGGAATAAAAATGCGTCTAGTAGGTTGACTCTACACTAAACTAATCCCTCTTGGAAAGAAGTTGGCTAGAAACAATTATAGCAAAGAAATTAAATGGATCATGTCGACAGGCTCATGCAGAGGCTCATAGTCGCCAAACATTTGACACCATTGCGATCAAGCCTACCACTACCACCCCACCGACAGTGTATACTCTCCCCCACCCCCTACACCTCCAATTTTTAAACCCTACATTTTTTTTCCGAGAATAGTCAAGAAACATTTTATGAGGACATGTTTCAATACCCCCTTGAACAACTTGCATCAATAAAACCAGACTAGACTACTAAACAATGAAACTGACAGGATAAATTTCCAAATTAGGTGTATTTTTTTCATTATTTACCTAGGGAGAGAAATGCCACTTCTCAATTAGGCATTGCAGACCATAATAGTGATTCCTTGGGTTAGTAGCAAAGACAAACTTTTATACAGACTGATATTCACAAAGACTCAATGAAGACTAAACGCTAGATAAACCTCGAATTAACAACAGCCTGTTCCTCCACTACAATGAGTTTAATTTTACGCCTGATAGGATCCTAGGATAGGATGGAGAGGTTGAAAATCCCTTTGCGGTAGAGATCTGACGTCAGTAGGCAATTAAAGCAAACAAAATAAATATTTTCAGGACATCTTCCAGATGTTAAAACCTTCATAATGAAACTTGATCGATTTTCAGTGCGTAGGAAGGTATATTATACAAAATAGAATGTACCTCCCACACAATTCTGTCATCAATTAGAATAAGCTCGATTTATTTCAAGTCTCAGCGCCATATGGACTATGATTCAGAGAAAATGGATCAAAACAATTGTATATGAAATATAGGGTCAACCTACTTGACGTAAACTTTATTCGAAAGACTCTAACGAAATCGAAGTCTGAGTTATGTTCTCTGAACTACTACACCAACTGTACAACAAATGCGTCTATTATTATCAAATCATAAAACTCAACAGTTCTACATCTCAAACTATGTAGAATAAAGCTGTAACATTTTTGTTTCAATGACCATTGTATGGACGATATGTGTGAACATTATGAGCATTATTACTAAGATTAGAACTTCTTAATAATAGAACGTCTGTCGTTGATAATGTACTAGCGATGTAGCCTGTGTATTACAATATTCTGGACGCCAAAGCTACGTTAAGTTCACTTAAGATACAAGTAAACTGAAAAAACATATTTTTAAAGACAATTTTATATTTAGCTGATAATAAAAAGAACTAAAAATTTGTTAAAAAATTGTTTCTGGCTGGAAATATTTAAACAACAATGAAGCATCTTCATTTCAAATTTTCAAATCAAAGTGTCTTACTGTCAAAACGTAACATGCTTTTAGCAATTAAGATTCGGTATAAAGGAGCCTCATTATCTTTTAAATATTTCCAATCGGAAAAAATATTCTTGAACCTCTAGTTCGTTTTGTTATTAGCTAAACAAAAGCTTCTTTCTAAACATGTTTTTTTTTATTTCATTAATTTTTCCTTTTTAGTATGTGATGCTATTAAATAACCAGTTGGGTAATTTCTATACCATTTTCATACATTTTCTTCATCACGAAGCCTCTTACTTTATTTGTATTACAAAATTTCGATAGATACAAATCAAATATTGGTGTAGTGATATATGGCAGTTATCGCCATATGGAATTTAGAATGACGTTATTTAGTTATAGTGTTTCTCTCAATAAGCCCTTTCATTTGATACCCATACCAAATTATAAATCGCCATAGTACGGCATAGTCGATTCGACATGACGTCACTTTGCTTATTGTGTTTACCTCGTCCAGCCCCTTCAATTGATCCCCACAGTATAGGAGTAACTTTGGAAATTAAAAATCGATAGTTTGCAGTGACTGCCATATTGGATTTACGATGAAATTATGTTGCTCATTATGTTCCTCTTATTAAGCCTCAAATTTGACGCCTATATCATAGAGGTGACTGTGGTAATTGTAAACGCCATCTGACGCCTATATCATAGAGGTGACTGTGGTAATTGTAAACGCCATCTGGAGCGGCCGCCATATCGGATTCAGCATCTCACTGTGCTTAGTACGTTTCTCTCATCAAGTCCTTTCATTTGATATCCCTACCTTAGGGGACACGATAGAAATGATACACTTTATAGCATCAGTCATATTGGATTCGAAATGGCGGCTGTTAATTTATTTGATATTGTCGCGCAAACCAAACGTGTGACAAAATTTCAGCTCAAATGGTTAATGTTAACTGGTTCAAAATTAAGTTCCAAGATTTGTCATACATATACTAACAAACAGGTCTCACGTTAAATAGAAGCTTGTAGAAAGCAAATGCAATGTGTTAAATTTTCCTAATGCCGCCGCTCGATTTCCGCCAACACGTGGCAAAATATATACAGCATGCCTATGTCTTGCGCGGAGGTTTGCATGTACCATGTACCTTTGCCGCCTTTGAACTTACCTCTTATTCTCAAAATGGTTCACCGATATTCAGTATTGGGATGTTCATAATGTAATGTAACCTTTTTCTCGCTACTCTTCAGTAATATTTCTGTACAATCCGTACTTTTTTCAGGTGGACGACGATATATCAGGCTCATCCCTGGTCGACTTCAGCGAACTGACAACCGAATACACCGACCTCGAGATAACAGAAACTGTGATGTAGATGATAGGTAGATGATAGATAGAGATGGAACATGGAATATTTTTTACCGAATTCTTAGTGAACGCCATGATATGGAATGAAATGAAATTATAACAGAGCCTCGATAATCCTGACTCTAGAACACCTATGTAATCCCTTTACGTACTCACAATTTGGGTGCAGGATTATCAGGGTTCACTGCAATTGATCTGATTGTAACGCTGTGTGAATTAAAGATGGAATGGGATGAATATTTAATAATAAAATCCTTCAAGAATATATAAAATGTTTATACACTTGGGAGATATAATCTCCATTTTTTAAATATAACTTCAACACCATGTATATCAGTAAGAGTCATGTTGAGATCCATGCTTACCAGAACTATCTGTGTTATTTTGAGCGTCCTTTCTATCGCAGGGATATTCCTACTATCTTTTTAATCGCACTTGATATAAATCAGATTCGAGCAATCTCTAAGTGTATTCCATATCCTGGCGGAAATAAGGTTTGACTAACCGATCGGTACGATTTCTGATGCGTTTCTCTTGTGGGGGATAATGTTTTTGAATCTGAGATACATGAGTATTCCTAGCCAACATCTGCTACAATCTTTGGATTTCCTTGTAATACCTGTTTTTTCCCTTGTTTATTACTGCCTACGCCACTGGTGAAGAAGAAAAATTTCTAGAATGAGATACTATTTTTTTACGTTATATTTATATATATTACAGGTACATCACGAAAAGCCATGTCACTTATTTCCGTCGATTTGTCTGTCGGGCTATTCACTAATCCTTGTCCCATCTATAACTTAGAAGGTACCGCTAGGGATCTGATATAATATTCATACAAGGTTACTACAATACCAAGGACAAACCAGCTTTGCAGCTATTGAAAATCGGCCCAATGGCGACGGAGTTAGGGGCAAAAACGGAAAGAATTGAAAATTACTCAAACTTGGTTTCTTGATGTTTCAGCGGCTGAATACGACCCTGTCTCATTCTTCGGATTTCTTATTCTTTAGCAACCGGCTACAACAATGTTTGACATTTCTTGAAATATCGACCTCTCTCTATTTTTTCAACCATGTCAAAAAATGAGTTTTTGTGGAGCTTTGTTTTTGTTACTCTCCAATGCTGTCACCAACAAGGATATATTTAGAAAGAGAATTTTCCTGATCGCACCAAATTTTCGTCAGTGGTTACAGGGATTGGGCAGTGACTGACAAATTTGAGATAAATAAATTTGATTATCGTCTATTAGTATCCGAGAACTACCGAGAAGCTTCGTAATATCAGCAATTTCTTGTCAAAATATCTTCCTACATGTTCATAATCCCATTTCTCCCCAATTTCGATTTCCGCGAACTTCACAGCAACATCTGCGAGATCATAAGGTACCTAAAGCTTAAAATAATAGCAATGCGTTGACAAGTACGCTTTTAATGGCCTTCCCCTCTCTCAGCCCATTCATCTCAACAGAAGCATATGATTCAGCAGAATTTGCTCATAGTCCAGGAGCAGCCACTTATGATACATATGTCCTTATATGCCTCCTCAGCTTAAATGTGAGACATCATTAGATACCTGCAGGGGTATGTAATAAATCATATCTCTCCATCCAAATCGTGACCGTTTGGCCGCCATATTTAATAATAACTGCACGTTGTTCAACATTCATTCAACGTAATATTATACAGGGTGGCCGATATGTAACTGACTGGTTTGTTTCTTGAATATTTGTGAAATGAAATAGAATACGTCAATTTTTTTCATCTTAATCTTTTATTGAAACTTAGAAATTATGTATGGAAAACAGTATCAGTTAAATGTCCGCCTCTAGAAGCCGCGCAAACCTGAGCTCTCTTTATTACATTTTCCATCACTTTTTGGTAGGTTTCGAGAGGAATATTTCCAATCGCTTCCATAATATTGTTCTTCAGGTGCTCTACATTATTTGGTTTGTGGGCATAAACCTTATTTTTCAAAAATCCTCATAAAAAGGTAAGGAGCCGTTAAATCCGGTGTCCTTGGTGGCCAGCTGACATCACCAATCGAGAAATTAAACGTCCCGGAAATATTGTTCGCAAAAGATTAATTGTTTCCCTAGCTGTGTGACAGTTGCTCCGTCCCGCTGGAACCACATGTTTTGCCGGTTAAATTGTTTGATTTGACGAGCCAGAAAGTTTTGCACTATATCACGGTAGCGCTCGCCAGTAACAGTAAAAGAATTACCTGCAGCCTCTTTACAGAAGTAAGGTCCAATTACACCTCCATACCGAACACAGCACCAAACTGTGATGTAGTGGTCGTTGATAGATGACACGAGGGTCCTCTAATGCCCAGATAAGACAATTCTGCTTATTAAAAAATCCGTTCATACCGAAGTGGGTTTCATCGCTCATTATCAGTCTTCGGTAAAAAGCGTTATACTCGTACTGGGTATTAAGCTGCAATATTGCCTGCGACTTTCATGGTCACTAGGCTGTAGATCTTGGGTTAACTGAATGTTCTATGGCCGCAAATGCAAGTCTTTTTTTAAAGTAGTACATAATGACGTGCGACATATACCCAGTTCTTGAGGGCGTTGTCTGGTAGACGTCTCAGGGCGCTCCACTACACTTTCACGAACTATCTCGATACTTTCCGGAGTACGAACAGTTCTATATGGCCCGACCTTGGCAGATCTTTAACTTCACCTGTTTGTTCAAATTTTCGCACCAACTGATGAATGGTGTTGACACTGGGCGCATTTTCTCGACCGAATTCTTGTGGTAGCTTCCGAATCGTTGCAACAATCGACTCATTATTTAAATAAAACGTTTTAACAATACGGACGCGTTGTGGGATCGTGTCGCGCTCCACGATGAATGGAACACATGTGCTTTAAGCAACTACTACCGCGCCACCTACTGAAATGCGTGGATCAAAAATTGCACGCAATTTAAATCAGTCAGTTATATATTGGCCACCATGTATATCGGTGACAGTGGACCGATTTTGATTTTTTCAGCTCATTTCACTTATTACTTCCTGCCATACGGCAACTATATATTGGAATCTCGAAAAAAAAATGAGTTTTTATGTTTATAACGAAAAATCATCTCACTAATTTCCGTCAGTCTGACGATTGGTCTGTCTGTTCGCTAATCCTTGGCACGTCTATAACTTGGGAAGTACTGCTTGAAATTCTTACTAAGCCAACGACGAAAAAGTTTTGAGGATCGGTCCAGTGGTGGCAGAGCTACGAGCAAAAAACGAAAAAAAAATCATTTTCACGTTTTCTGAAGATATGAATACTCTTATCCAAATAGCCCTTTCTGATAATGAACGCAATCCAGTGAAAACTACGGTTTATGACTATAAGTAGTCAAAAATGTCTATTAAAAATCCGAAAAGCGCGCCTTTTGTTTTCAGTTTTACTATCGTGTTTTCGGAGGTGCCGATATATCGTTTTCCATTCATATAACATTTTTGCAGTATGTCGTACATTGACATTGCCAAACTTAAATTATTTCAAAAACTAAGATCTAAACTAACATATAGTTGATCTTGAAAGTGATAGCCTATTACATATTTATCCCTATAAATCATCAATGCTACTGTTTTTTCATAAGCATGTTTAAATGACATTCAGATAATTTTCTCATACAGTATATCGACTGAGACAAGCATTCTTTTTTAAACGATGGGGGAGCTCTACATTTCCGCTCGGCCGTAGATTAATAGTATTTAAATGCAGGATGTGTGCATCGGCTATATCTATAGCGGATATGAAACGTCTTTAGGAAGCTGCAAAATCGTTTCTAGAATTGTACTCAGTCTAAAATATTTCTGTTACTTGCATAAAGCTTTTAATGTTCAGAATACCACTCTCAAATGGTACGAAGGAGCTATTATTATGTTATTCTTCATTTGATGAGAAGGCTGATCACAGGGAGATTACTTCTTTAAACCTTTAAGGTTTTATAATATGTCATGATTTGTACAATATCATATATTAAAATCAGAAATAGGTACTGTTCAGTTAATATAAAATTATATTAATATAAAAACTGAAGGGATGCTTGGCAGATGATATGAAACAAATGACCATCTGATAAGTTCAAAGCCTACATAGGAAATGTTATTTTTTAAATAACAACGGTATATGCCATACTCGTATTATTATACATTTTTGGAATAAGAATAAAAAACTCTATTCGACTGAGCGAAAACACATTATATTTGATTATTGAGGACAATAGATGAAACGTAATATTGAAATATATGTGTATACAATAATACACTTTTTATTTTGAAATCCTATCTCAAATAGAAACAAAACAATCAAAATGATTTTGATGAAATTTAGTTTTTTTAGTCTCTTTCCTTAAATACGCGGCATCGCGAAAGTACCATTTACCAAGTGCGCAAACTTTGCCTCTACTTAAGCGACGTTGTTTCTGTTACCGTTGCCTAGATCCCAATGGTGACAGTCGAATTTGAAATACCCGGTATACAAAGTTGCTTAATAATGCCTCGCAAACAGTGTGAGGGTACACACAAGGGCACACCTGACCTTAATGGATTCTGCACACGTGAGCATAGTGGCTGCTCCTAGACTATCAATAATTTACGCGGAAGTAAATACCGAAGAAAAGCATAACGGGAGGCAAATCCTGCAATTTATGGCAGTCGGATCGTTCGATCGTCATAAATTCTCCAACTTTTAGTAATTGCCAAATTGCTATATCCCGAAGCATAGGAAACTCGCTCTGTTCTGAATACAGGGTGGCCCATCCATATGTGGACGGAATATTACTCATTAAGAAATACATTTTCAGAAAATCTATTTATGTCATGTTATACATGACATTTGAGGGCACATTTCTAAAATATTGGCAATTATACAGGGTGTCCGAATTTTGACCTAAATGTCAAAGTCGTAATTTTTTAAATGGATCACCTCAAATTTTATTGCATATATAAACCAATTCAAAATAAGAAAATGGATATATCATACCATGGGATTTTGGAAATTTGCTACTGACATGTAAGGTGCTTTGTCTAGAAAAACCCCTCACTTCGACAACCCGTCAGTCCTCCATTTTGAAATTTGGAGTGGCAAATTTTATATCAAAAAAAAGTTACACACCTCAGCTTTTATCTTATTTGTCACTTTTTCGAATTTTCATGTTTGCTCATACAGGGTGGTCAAAAACGCGAATTGTACTTTTTC